CGGAGTCGACGAGCACCACCCAGAGAGAAATTGGACGCCCTTCATGGGCCATTTGTGATGCGCCAGGTTGTTGACACTATGGCTCCGATACCATGGAACCTGGACATGCACCAACATGCACATGAGCTCGTGAAGCGCTTCAACCAAGGCATACAGACTGTCCTTCCTTTGAGGGGGCGCTTTCACCGCAAGCCCTATCTTGCTGCAGACACCAAGGATGCTATCACTGTGAAGGCGGCCTGGCGGAAGATCATGTTACAGCTGCAAACTTGGATGAAGCAACATTCCCTGAGGACATGCTTTCGTGCATGGGCACAATCTACCCAGTCCCCCTCTTGGGAATGGCTGGCTGATTTTGAACGCCTTATGGGAAGGCATTGGGCTCATGCAATGAAGCACTTTCGCCAGATGAGAAACCAGACCACAACTCTTTTGAGGAGAGATGCCAACCACTTCTTCGATCAGCTGAAGCAGAGTTGGGGCGAAGTTGATTGCAGTGGAAGCACTCGTGAGCTGTGGCAGAAGGTCAAGATGTATCTCCCTAAGATGCAGATGAGACGAGAAGTTCGTAGTGCACAGCAACAAGAATCGATGCGGGAACAATGGGAACCCCATCTCTGCTTGCTGGAGGCTGGCACACCAACCCAATTGAGGGAACTCTATAAGGAGGTGCTCACGAAGCCACAGGAAGAAGAAGAGAATTGTGTGCATCACTTCGCGGACCTCCCGACTCTCACAGCAATAGAAGTCTCCCTCAGGCGCACCAAACCTGGGAAGGCTTGCGGACCAGATGGCATGGAGTCGACGTGGCTTCATTGTGCAGCCGGGGCAATGGGCACATGGGTGTACGACGCTGTGTTGAAGATGATGTACACCATGAACGAGCCCATTCAATGGAAAGGCGGCACCCTCTACATGCTGCCAAAGGTAATCCAGCCCACAGAACCTTCGCAATTCAGAGGGGTGATGCTTCTTGGAGTCCTCGTCCGCCGGATTCATGCCCTATTCCGTGATGCCCTCATGGCTCAAGTTTCAGAACAGTCACCACCTGGGCAACTCGGAGGATTTCCACATCAAGAGTGCCTCTTTGGAAGCCTTTATGTACGCACTTTGATGAGGCGCGCATACCAGGCTAAGCTTCCCAGCGCCATCCTCTTTGTTGACCTGAGGGCGGCATTTCACTCCCTGGTGAGGGAGCTGGTCTTAGGGAAGGGGCTTGGCGGACATGTGGACCTGATGGCGCTCCAAGAAACTTTGAAGAAGGAAGGTTTCGAAGATGACCTCATACACAAGATGACGCACTCTCATGGAGTTCTTCCTGAAGGGCCCTTGAAAGCACTCATGCGCGAACTGCACGGCTACACATGGTCCACCATTCATGGTAGAGGCGTGCGCACCGCAAGAGGCTCAAGACCAGGGAGTCCTTTGGCGGATGCTTTGTTCCATTGCTTGATGAGCCCCATTGTTGCCAAGATTGAAACTCACCTGCAGGCCCGGCCCCATCAGCGTCACGCCCGAGAAATCCTTGGCAGTCAAGCGGTACAAGTGGTATGGGCAGATGACTTAGCCGTACCCCTCCTTGCTATGAGCAACGCTGAAATGGAAGCAGAGATCAGGTATGCCTTCGGTGTTGTCTTTGATACTTTCCATGAATATGGCATGACGCTCAATATGAGCAGGGGCAAAACAGAAGTCTTAGTGACTTATGCAGGCCCAGAAGCCCGTGCCTTCCGAGAACGACTCCGAAGAGAGCCCCAGATGACTGTGCAGGTGGGAACATCGTCATCTACCATGTGCCTTGTCTTGGGGAACGCATATACGCATTTGGGGACTACCATGGCCGCGGCCGGACGTCTCCACCTTGAGGTCAAGCGCAGAGTAGGACAGGCATGGGGTGCATTTCGGCAACTTGCTCGGCCAGTCTTTTTGAACAAGGCTCTCAAGGAATCCACGCGCATCTTCCTGCTGGAGACATTGGTTTTCACTAAGCTGCTTTATGGATGTGGCAGTTGGAACGGCCTGACTCTAGCGGATGAGCACAAACTTTCGGTCTGCTACTTGGGTTTGCTTAGGCGGACTCTGGGACAGGTGAAAACTCATGATGCCGAGGTTCTTAGTGACTTGGCCATCTTGCAGCGAACGGGATGTGCACCGATTATGCTGCGGATCTCGCAACAACGATTTCTTCTAGCTGCACGGGTGGCTCGCTTTGCACCATCCTTTGTGCACGAGGAGCTGCTTCGGGAAGAGGCTGAGATGGCGCAAAGCTGGCGAGGCATGATGACGGAGGACCTTGGTTGGCTTCATGCCATGGTGGATCTCTCGAAATGGGGGACTACTTTGCCGGAGCTATGGGAGGCTTGGCAGCATCAGAAGCCAGGCTGGCAACATGTGCTGCGTACAGCAGTGCAAAAATACCGGTGTACCATGCATCTTTTGCACACTACGCCTGTGGAGCGTGGTGAAGAAGAGGAAACTCTTCAGGATCTTTGGATGAAGGTGCACTGCAGATGCCATTGCGGGCAAGGTTTTGCCTCTTTGAAAGCGCTGCGAATGCATCAGACGACAGCTCACTCATGGCGCACGCCCATCTCGGGATACCTTCACGGGGCAACCTGTCCAGTCTGCCTTAAGCACTACTGGACGAAGAATCGCCTTCGAATCCACTTGAGGTATGTCTCCCGGAAGGGCATTGGCAACATTTGTGCCTCTTGGCTGCAAACCTTTGGGGTGAGCGAAGAAGCGCGTGAGGACCTCCCCGCAGATCCTTTTGTGGCCCTGAAAGGGGCATGCAGAGTGGAGGCAGTGCAGCTCTATGGACCTCGGGTTTTTGGAGCCACCGTTGATGATGTCACCACTTTGGAGCAGAACTTTCTCGACCTCAAGGAGGAGCTTGAGAGATCTGGGGTCTCCTTCCATCCGGACCCTGACTTCTTACAAGCTATCGGGGAAGAATGCGCTCAGGCTGCTGCCACTGGAATTGCAGTGCAGACCTTCTACCAGCAATGGGAAGATGTTGACATGGGCATTTTGCTCGGCATGGTCTTCCTGTGGGGCACGCAGAGTGACCTTGATGAGAAGGGCATGCATTGGTGGAGGACTTGCCTGATGTCTGAACCGCAGGGTAGGACTCTTGTTCAGTTGCATGATTGGGCCGTCATGATTCAAAAAGCATGGCAGGTCCACAATGAGCGGCCGTCCCGGCCGCCCTATCGCGGCCCACAGAAAGGCCTGGATGGTTTGCATCGTGCTCGGATCCCGTTTTGCCCGGAAGTGGCAACAATAAATGGCGATCTGACAGTTCGGCACTGTACAGTACGGGAGCTTCGCAACGCTCTGTTCCGCTGACGCGCTGAGCTTAATTTAGCTTTTGGCTTTAGCCGCTGACCTCCACAAGCCAACTGGCTTCCGAACGGACGCGAATGAAATGAATGAAATGAAATGTAAGTTCATCCACAAGCATGCTTAGATGTGTATATACTGGGACGAAAGCATCAGAGCTCAGCGCATGGAAATGCAATCGAATTGAGTCAACACACTCCAATTGGTCATCTTGGTCGGACCACGAAGGGCAATGACCCGTATACGGTGAAACAAAAATCCCTTGTTCATCCTGAGAGTCAGGATCCTGGTATAGTGAGGTATGCATCTGGTTGCCAAGCATGTCTGGATTGGGAGTCACACATCCATTGGTTTCACACGCTGCATCAAAACTGTGTCGAAACCTCATGCCTTCCTGAGCAATTGGCGCATGGACGACAAGACCTGGTGTCTGGGACACCCCCACCTGAACATGGAGAGATGACAGTGTTTGGCATGAAACAGCCCTGGAATTACATGGCACTTCTCGGGCAGACCTTTCGAGCAGACAGCCTGTGAGATCATCTGGATTGTCAACACACGGCACAAAGTCCTTATCCATTGGCAGATTCTTGTATTGCGTAGCATTAATCAAACCAGTGGTGTAAATCTGTCTCTTACCAGTGCAATGCCATCCACTTAGCACACAAACACCTAGGACCATAAGGCAGAGAAACCCACCCCACATCAATGTCATATTCTGCCTGCCATTCATAATGTCGTCATCTGAACACGTCTGTATCCCTGGAGGTTCATTGTGTGCAAATCTCACAGTATTGCCTGGCATCCACAATGAAGCGAACAAAAGCATACAAAAAGATCGGCTTGATACCTTACTCAAAGCATGCAGGATCACCATCATGAAGCTGCCTAGCTGTCCCAACCAGCTCATCATTAAGTCTCGTCGATCCAGGTTCCTTGCAATCCTAGACCGCTTCCTGACACCCCTACCCCTAGGCCTACGAACATCGCTTGCTCTCTTGCTTGCCTCGAATTTTCGGTAGCTCCAAGGCAACATGGCTTTCACAACCATCTGGAGTAGCAACATGCTCCACTCACAGCAGAGTTGCCACAACCATCCTTCCGACTTGTCATCTGTCTTAGACGTCGGTTCACACAAGCAATGTGGTTGTCCATCATCACATGGGGTGGGCACCCTCCACCAGTTCCACTCTCGTGTACTAGGCAGAGCATGCATGGACTTTTCTGGTGTGACTAGAGCAAATGAACATCCCCACACACATTGAACCTTTTTGAGGAAGATGGTCTCATTCCATCGAAGGTATGAGCTCAACACAGTTGGCACCTTAAGGATCACCGGTTGGTCCCGTCCCTCTGGCCAAAATTCCGTGAAAGCCGCATGGGGTGTCCATAGCAACCGCTGCACAATCACTCCAGTTACCAATTCATCCTTCTCACTGAATTTGGACGCCGGGTAGGCCTGCAAAGGAATCACCCCAGACGTAGGGCATTTCCCCCATGGCATCGCTCAATCCGTACCCTCACGAAGAGGGTAGCAGGTACGCCCCGTGGAGGCTTGAGCAAAATACCTACGATCCATCCCCCCAAAATAAGTAACCCCTCATTCTTGGCTGAGACCTTGGAACTGGCTGGTCTTCCCCTCATCCCAGTCTGCCAAGGTACGGCTTCATGCCAGTTGGTCCTCCTCGCCCTCTCTCGGATCCCAGGCAGGGCGCGATCTGGCTGTTGCGGTTTCGGTGTTCAGCAGCCTGCTGCGACAGCAGGTTTCGACGTCGACGGTATCTACCTACCTTGGGCGTAAAGTCGCCAGCACACAGTTTGTTCATCGTGCATTCGCCATTCTGCCCCCCTAGGTCAGTTGTTGATATCGCAATCATTTTACCAACAGCTACTGTCAGGCATAGGATCATTCCAAAAAGGGAGATATCATCAGTACCAATAACATTGGCACAGTCCTGATGAACAAGGTGGTCCTTATTCATTCTTCCTATCATCCATCATAGGATCATAGCAACCAACCCACCATCAGACCCCCTGATAAAAAAAGGTAGGTTGAAATGGATAAAGGCATCTTAGGAAATGCGATGATTTAAATATGTGTTGGTTTTCTTTCATAAATGTCAAACTCAACATTGTCAATACTAGCCTTGCTGGAGCAAAATCCAAATTCAGCTGTGGTGAACAAGAGATTAGACGGCGCTTGAGAGTGGGTGTGCTCTCAACGCGACAAGTACAACACAAGGTGCATCTCTCATGACACGAGTGTTAGTTCAGACCCTCGAGCAGTACTATGTCTTCAAGACCATTCCACATTCCCAACAAGAACCCGAGAGCAAGGTCATCGTGGCCAATGCTACCGAAAGAGATCCAAAGTCTGAAATACTTAAGCATCACAGCATCACGGCCATGGGATTGGTGATTCCTCATAATTCCTTCCCTGAACCTTTCCCCTGAATCAGAAAAGATCCAAAAGATAGGCTTTGTTGAGTGTTAAACATCACAGCCCTACAGCCATGGTAGTGGTGATGTTCCCCTCAGAACTCCAAGAACTCCCCGTGCCTTCTCTTTGAAAAGGATGTTCACCAGTAGTGGGTCGTGGCACCAGTGGCACTCGCCAGGATCGACGTCTGGTCGCCCAGTCCAGGCGGGACGAGCCGCCCGGTCAAGCGACGAAGGTCGTCGTCGACCGCAGGTCCCAAACTCACGGCCATCGTCTTTGGACGTAAGTTCGTATGTGTGCACAAGACGCAAGTGTGGACCTTCTTTGTAAAACTTACAGGTCCAAGGATGCACAAGTTCGTGGGTGATGGATTTATATTGTGCATCTTTGGACCAATTAATATGTTTACGAAGGACCTGAACGATCACATATATGTATTTGTTTAACGATCACCGCAAAGGGTTATACGGCTATCGGGGGCAAATTCGGACGGCAGTGTCACTGCGAGGTCCCTGGCCATTTCAGAGGGGTCGGTAGAAAAATGCGTCAGAGTCGGTCCTGATGTCCTCTCAAAAATTACAGCTAGCACAGCTGGTCGCGCCAACAAAGCCTAGCTGCTTTAACTGATGGCACCAGCCCTACCAGCCAGTGGGAATGGGGCGTCCTACTCCTCCGATTGGTCTACCGGAGAATCTACAGGAAAAGCCTTTCTTGATTCAGCTTACAGAGTTGATTCAACAAAGCAGTGCATGAAGATGAAGAGCCTTGATCAAAGCTTATGATAATTTATTTATACATTAATTTCCCCCAGAGCTTTTTTCACTTCCATGATCTGTCATGTTTTCCATATGTTGACATATGTAGACTTGTTGTTTCCGTAAAGAGCCTTCTACAGATCCTCCAGCCGCTGCCAGATGCACCGGGCTCTCCGTGGCGACACAGCCCAGGCGCGGCTCAGGAAGTCCGGAGACGAGCGTCGGTGGAACCGCCACCGACGCTCGGTCGTTGGGGGTTCTCGGTCGGTTGGGTTGACGTCTAAACGGCCGGACTGTCCGGAGCCAGTGTGTCAGACTTGGCGGCTTTTGGTGTGGCCGCCCACATCAACGAGAAGCTCCAACAAAACTAAGTCGTCTAGTTGTTGTAGCAGCTCAGTCGGATGTTATCACCACGAGGTCAGATGCGTTTGCCAAACAACCAACCAGGTCAGATGAGAACCATGCCACGGCTCTTGACTGCCCTGCCGTGCCGCTTCGGCAGGTTGGGACTCCGTCCTCTCGCGGGAGGTGCCCAGCACGGACGGCCCAGTGGCGGCGCGGAATGAAGTGGGGGAGCATGAGGTTGGCAGAAGAGGGGAGCAGTGTTTTCCGCGAAAATGCCGGAATTCTGCTTTGTTTGACCATGTTGTTTTAGTTTGAAAGGGGCTGTAGATTCCAAAGTTGTTCAAGTACATAAGTGTTTGCTGATTGAAGGTTATTTGTTGGGTGGCCTCTTGGGCAGACAGTGGTTGAAGGTCCTTGGCGCTTTCAGCTGTGGAAATAGATGAGTGGTTCTGAAGAATGTAAGAACCGGGTTAAAGTCAACAGTTGACAAGCACGGCCAGCCACGATGTTTTGGAGGACTTTGACAAGAAGCATCCATGAAGCCTTGTTGAGCCCCACAAAAACCAAGAGTAAACAGCATGGGATTGAGCTCCGAAGTCCGGATGGCGGACAATCCCCACTAGGAAAACTCCGGAAGCGTCCCAACGCCGCGCCACGCGCCGCGCGCCACGCCTCTCCACCTAGGCACGGCCTTGGCCGACACGGCTCGGATTCGGGCGGTGTCTTCACCCTTCAACTTCTGGAAGAGAGAGCCCAACCGTTCCGTCAGCCACTGGGCGGAAAGGATGGAAGCGGATGGTAGGGCGACGGCCGACGTCCGATTCGGAGGACGAGGAAGGAGGGGAGCGGGCCGCGGACGGGCTTGAAGGGGGTGTTGGGCGTTTGGGGTGGTTCCAATCGAAGGGAGGCTTAAAGAGAGGTGATTAACAGGAAGGTGGCTTGAAGTGGGGAAGCTTAAGGGGATCCTGACACCTAGAAGGGGGGTCCGTCTCAAAACGACGGTTCGCTTTTGCAATGATGGATGACCTTATTTGTGACCTTAATATGGCTTTGAGCTGCAGAGTAGTCCTTTGAGCCTTTGAGTAAAAATAGGGGTATGTATAGGGGTCGTCTTTTGTTTTGGGGGTACATCATCATATCCACGCTGTGGAGCATATGATTAGGTCTTCGTACATTGACGGCCATCGAATCGCCCAGGTCCAGGCTATCCGACGCAGGGGCTCCCAGAACCCGCATGTGTTGGCTGACGCAAGCCGCTCCAAGCGTATTAAGTGCAGCTCACAGGTCAGCCTAAAGACCTGGGAGCCATGACGCTTGGTGCGGTATTCTGTTCTTGGGAGCCCGCACCAAATGAGCATTCTAATGTTCTTGATACCATGGTTACTATTCTGACCTGTGAACGGTATCCTGGTTTTGCTTAATAGTGATCCTTTATTTTCCCTTTTAGTGAGTAAATCACCTTCTTGGCAATTCAATACATGTTCTATTTGTTTTCCTGTTCCTGAAGCAAATCCCAGCTATTTTGGACCATTGGGGACTCTGAGACGATAGACGGGACGAACACACAAAAAGTGTCCGGCTGCACATGAGGCCTCGGGCTGCCTACTCCTTCCCGGTTGAAGGGGATGGGATTGGGAAGCATCAGGAGGACCCAGCACCAGTCAACCATACCCACACAACTGGCTTCAGGGCCATTCAGGGCAACGCCTGGCCCTCCTCAAAATACCCGCGTTGCTTCGCGACGCCCGAACGAACGCCCGAGGCCACCGAGGCTGCGGTCCATGAGCTACGGCCGGAGACTCATGCCGTTGGGATGCCATGCCGTTGGTTCTCCGACATCTCATGTGACCATCTTCAAGTCCATATAGTCCTGCAGGTTCTTTTGGACTATAGTCCATATAGTCTCATGTGACCATCTTCAAAGGGTTGAGGTCCCCGTGGACGCCGTGGTCTCGGTCGCGGTCCGTCCCCTGCTCCGCCGCCCGAAGGCCTCGTGACGGAGCCGGTGACCGAGGCGACGTGACCGGGACGGCCGGTTCCGAGCTTTCGAGGGGCTTCCAGGGCTTCTGGGGATGGTGAGCAGGTGGGAACCACGAGCAGGTTGAGATGTTCACACAGGTGGTTATTTTGTTATGTTTGGTTTGTTTTGGGACTATATATAGGTTGATGGTGGCGTGATTGAGGTTTCTTTGGGTGGGTTCATTCGTTTGGTTGGGTCACGGTTTGTTGTTGAAGACTTTGAAGAGTCTCGAAGTCTTTTGGATGTTGCAAGTAGTCATGTATTATTCTAAATGTGTGGTGTTCTCGGATGAGACACCCGAACGGGTGTTGAAAGGGGTGAGCTGTATGGTAAACTCTCCGACATGGGAACCCCCAGAAATTTGGACGAACACCCTGCCCACGCAAATGCCCTCCATTCGCCATTTTGGATCCTGGGGGCCTGTGAGGTCTTGGGGTCACTTCCACTTTTTGGGGTGCATTGTTGGCCCAAAGCTTTGTGTTCTATTATATGCTCATGGGCAATTGGTGGGTGCTGTAAGATGAAGAGGATAAGCAAATCGATGTTATCAATCATGTGTCTTTCCTAAAACGGTGAGGAGTGAGGGCGGCTAAGCTCCCACATCCTTCCGAATGCAGTGAGCTGAACCATCACCTCCGCTCTGAACCCCACGGCAGGCGGTCATTCCCCGAGCAGCGGCGGCGCTGCCGAGCGGGTCGCCTGAACGCTTCCAACCGGGCGAGTTGGTGGCCCATGGAAGAGACCGGCACCTCGCTTGGTGGGCCGACCGGGAAAGCACCGTGCGATGTGAGAAGAGCCAGGCCAACCACCCCAACCGGAGCGATGTGAGAGGGGGGCAGTGGTTTGCCCAAGATGCCCAGGTGTTTGGCTCCGGAGAACCTTGCAGTTTGATGGGGCTGTAGTGGATAGCTTTCGGCATAGCTCGGTTTTTTTGAAAGAGGGGAAAGAGGATAATTAGATATGAAAGAGAGTTTGTTCGTTTGGCTGCTTGGTTTGACATCAAGTTTGTATGCTGTACTTGCACAGTAGATGAGTTGGTGCAAAGAGAGGACGTGGTACCCACATCTACCTTAGGGGTAGAGTAGAGTACATTGAAGCCTTCGTGGGAGCAAGTTGTGGGAGAGTCCTACGTGGCTGATTGAATCATATATGCAACCTCTATTTTGCCAGTTTGATCCAGCATCTAAGGTACAACCTGATGGAGATTTGCCAGAACTTGCCCTCGCAGCAAGCTTGGCAATGCATGTCGGACAATGGTTTGAAGTTGACCAGATGTTTGCCTTGAGTCGAGGTGAGGATGTAAGGATGTAGAGGTTTGTCCACAAACATGCAGGGTTAGAAGCTGGCCTCTTCCCTTAAGTATCGGAACTATGATCCTCAATTGACTTTGGTAGGCCACATATTCCAATGGATCACACATCCCCAACACCGGTGATGAAACGAAAATCCACTCCCATCACCGCAGCGGTGAGGTCGCGGATGAGCCGCTGGTGAGACGACGCATCCAAAACGGCGAAAAACGCCAAATCCCTTCGTTTCGTTGGTGCCTTGGGAGTGAGAAGACCTGCATCAAACACCGATGGATATGTCTTGATCGTATGGGGCCCCAAAAAAAGTGAAGTTATGAGACCTATTGAAAGGAAACCCAAGCAGAACAACACCCGGAGACGCCCAGACGAGCCTCTGGGCGAGCATGCACCGCCCATGGACCCTTGTCCAACGGTTTCCCAACGCCGTCGCCAATGCCACCGGGAATCGGACGGGGGCAAAGACTTCCCCCACAGCTGGCGCCTGAAACAGCTGGCGCTCCGCTCCGTGTAAAACATGGTGTCTTTGTCGTGGTAGGTGTCTTTGTGCTGCATCATCATGTCCAACTGTCAGTTTCTTTCATGTCGAAGCCGCGTGTTCAGGGTCAATTTGTTTCGGTTCGACCATTCGGACCATTTGGTTCGGCCATGTGGGAGGCATGGGTGAAGAGGCACACCAGAGGAGGAAAGACAGAGGAAATCACATGTTTGCTTGGTTCATAGTGTCGGTTCCAGCGTGTTCTTTGGCACAGATGGGCACCCAACGAGGCGCAAAAAACGAGTGTTCCAGTATATGACTAATCATGAGTCATGGCACCTCCCTCCAAACCGTGGTAGGTTGACACCCGGGGTCCGGCCCGCCCGGGTCCGTCCCATGACCCACGGTCTTAGAGTGGAAGAGTGCAGGACTGGTCGGGTACAGCCATAGAAACACTGGAGTCATCCGTAGTCGGATTGAGGTCACCCAGATGGCGCTCCTGCTGAAGAAGTTGGGAGAGTTGGTTTCATGCTTTTACTCTGCGGAACAAGTTTGGAAGGTGCGTCGCAAGACTCTTTGGCCATTGTGTTTCACGGTTTACTCTGCGTTTTACTCGGTCGGAAGGTGCGTCGCAAGACTCTTTGGCCCTCATGTGGACGAAAAAAAGCGCCACTTGTGGAGCGATTTTGTATGTTTGTGGAGACTTGGAGCTCCTGAGCGAGACTTGCCCCATCGATCCCTTCAGCGTTGGCTCAGCAAGAACATCAAGAAAGAGCTGGTGATGGTGAGAGACCACCACAAAGCACTGTCTTGTTCCCTTGCTTACCTTGCTTTGATGCGTGTGTTTGTTTGAATAGGTGTCTGACGTTGGAGGGGAACACAACAAGAAACAGCACCACAAGATCAACACCAACCCTTCCTTTAGAATGAACGTGATGTCACACCGCAGGCATTCAAATGATCAGGTCATGCGAGAAGACATGAAAAGACATCGGGTAGTGACTTGGGTAACACAACACGTTTGACCTGGCCGCTGCTGTGCTGCTGGATGCCGAGTGCTGCGCGCCCTGCTTGGCATGGCGCTAAATGCCTGGGATGAATGCACAAACCTTTGGTGGAGGCGATGGCAGGGCATTGGTGGTGCAGCCTTGCCAAGAGATGGTAGACGGTAGTTCGACCTTGATAAGAACTCTTGGTAAGACTGTGTATGACGAAACTCCATTGAAATTACCATTGGAGATTTGAGCCATGAAACGTGAGGGGTATATATAGCAGTTAATACAATACTTCGGTGGATGGAAGAGGACGCGCAGGTGTTTTCCAAGCCATCAGTTTGCTTGATGTCGGGAAAAATACAGCACAGCTAGCTGTCCTTGAAATTGTGAGAGTCAGTGAACAGAAGACTGGTCAAACATGAAAGTTTATCATAAACATTTTATCTCAAAACATCACACAACCAGTTCTGTGTTTTTTCACTTCCCGTCGCATGTTCGGAGGCTCTTGGAAGCAGAGGAGGACCTGTCCATTGCCAAGAAGAAGTGCGAAGAGATTCAAAGGCCACAGCACATGTGGTCAGTTTCTCGTTGGATGCTAAAGCAAGATGAGGAAGTTGGTGGAGTAGTTCCTGGGTGAAGTCGAAAGCTATTTCAGCGGTTTGAGTTGGGGTGGAGGTGTTCAGTTCCCATGTCGCCAGGGAGAAGGAGCGTGGACGCCATGTGCGTGCGAAGCGCACTGAGGCGGCAGAGGACTGGGTTCGGGATGTTCGGGTTCCGTGTACTGGGATCAAAAATATTCCAAAATGAATGAAATCAGTTCAGTTCAGCCGAAGAGCATGGCAGCGAGAAAAAAAGGCATGATGATATACAGGGGGTGGTGGAATGGTGGTTATTTCAGGAGGCAAGCCTCTATTCAGGGGGCAATTCGTTGGCGTCACAAGATGGCAAGGAGTAGGACAGGTATGGAAAGAGAGATCGTTCCAGTAACCTGGACTTCTTCAAAGCGGAGGGGCATGACAACCGACCTGGACTTCTTCATGGCGGTTGGGCTTCTTCTTCAAGGGCATGACATGTTATGACCCGTTGGAAGATTTTGCCAGAAGGAAGTCACCACCAGCCAGGCCAGATGCAAAAAAGAACTCGTGCTTATTCCCCGTTTGAGAGCTGAACCATGGTGTGTATCCTTCATTCCACTGCGCTTCCGCCGCTCCTTGTCGCTCTCCTGGTGCTCGATGCCAGGATGACCTGCACACCGCCAGCGTGGGCACCGAGTAGCCCCGGCGTCGGACGAAACCGAAACACTGACTGACCCAGGCGCCGGACGGGTGGGGGTTTCACATGCGGGGCGGCGAAAGGCACTGGAAGTCTTCGTTCTCTTTTGGCTTTGTAATTAAGAGGTGTGGAGAGTGTAGAGACTCTTCAAATTGACACTTTTGGTACTGCCACATGTCAACAAATCATTGTAGAGCCCAGTTGACCGGCCATTAGGCCACCCAGAGAAAACTCCTGAAAGCTTGTCAACCAGTGATCCAAAAAACCCTACAAAGCACTTCCCATCACTTCCCTAACTGAGTTGACTGACGTCAAAATTCCGTCACTCGGAGCGCAACTCTCCCATCAGTATGCACAGCAATCTTGATCAGCAAGTGAATGGCACAGCCAGGGCTTTGAGACGTTTTCATGGGATGATGGTGAAGTTCGTGGGAGGCTACCCGCCTTCAGCCACCAACCTGAACAGCATGGGCCAAAAATATGCACACCTCCGTGCCCATATGAGTGCGCATATCCTCGGAACGCGCTTCCTATCGCATTCCTCGTTTCGCTCGTGCGAGCGAAACGAGGCCTTCATTTCCTCCACCTGCAGCAGCATCTGGGCCTCGGCCACGACGTCGTGTGCATCGCCAGCGCCTTTGGCGCGCTGCGGCGCCACGTGGGCCGCGCGCAGCGGCAGATGGGACACCTAGGCGCCTCCCGCGGGGCGGGGGCTGCAGGGGGAGGGGGGGAGGTGGTTTGGGGTATGGTGGGGTTCGTGGATAGATCATGATAGATCTTAAAGAATGAGGATACACACAAGTGTCTTTGAATCTTGAGGGAGGTTGGGATGGTCATAGGATGTCATACGTTGTAGCAGAGATCATTGGATGCAAGGAACCTCTTGGGTGTGTTTCGATGGTCACAAGTAGGGCAGCGCAGCAGCTGTGGTGGGAGTAAGTACTGGCACTCATTGAACCCACAACGGAGACTGTTTTTGGGGCTTCCACCCTCCGAAACATGGTGTTTTTTCCTCTTAGCTGACGTTCATTGTTCTTCCCGCGAAGATGTGACCTACTGCGCGTGAATCTCACAGCATCTCACCGCGTCAAAGATGTCGAAGGGCCTATTGGTTGGACGTGTCCTTGGATGTCCTTAGCCTCACCGGCAAGGATTCATCACTCATGCGTCTACTAATCATGATTCTTTGGATGTGCTGTGGGCTAAGGGACATTCAGTCTACAGTCTCATTGGAAATGGCACACAGCCCTACAGGAGTTTTCGATGGCTCCTCATATCAAGCACTTCTTTGATCCTTTTGAGGTGGACTGTGCCATCTACTCTGAAATCGCTAGGATTTGCTAGGTGCGTGAGCCTGTGCTGACTTACTACGGATCTATCAACAGCTCGGCGCCACCCTTTTGGCACTCCTTCCCAGGGCTCAAGAGCCAAAGGAGCTTGTGCCGTGCTTCCACCGTGCCCTCGTGCGACCCGCCTCACGAGGCGAAAAGCTGGGCCTCCCCGGGGAAGTGTGGCAGAAGGCGAGGACAGACCGGAGACCGGAGTCAAAGATCAAGTGAACGGGTTTTTGGTTGCCAGCAGCTTGCGCTGGTGGGCTCCTTGCGGTTACAAAGTTAAGCTGGATGTGTCACGAAAAAACCAAGCTGCTTGTGTTAGGTGGTTAGGTGGTTTGAAGGAGTGAACCAGCTCTTAATGGGCGAACGAGCTCCCATGCAAATCCCACATGGTTTAGTCGTATGTAAACACATTACATGCTCAATTAATTAGTACGTGCTTGGAACCTGTGGAAAGCAGGTTATGTTTCTGGAATACATTTCACTAGCCAAAATGCCATGCCATTTTTGCTCAAGCCTGCGATCTCAAAGTGAAAAGCACTTTTGTCCTCCCCTCATTCTATTCCGGTGTTGCCATGTCCGCCTCTGGCTCTGGAATTTTCGAGTGGGACCTTTTGGAGGAGGCCCCCTCGGTGACCTCGTTTGCCCTCGACCCCACTGAGGCGGAGGAACGGGACTTTGAACAGACAATCTTGGAAGGGGCTGGCCGTGCCGCTGACGCGTTGGCAGGCTCCTCCTCTGATCCTTCAGCTCCGGACACCCAGGAGGACTCGCACTATGTCAAGTGTGAGTTGCTTACTCAAGATGCCCTGCAGGCTAAGATGAAGGAGATGGATGAGGCCATGGGCCAGCTCCGGCTTTCCCTGCCTGGGGGTGCAGACGCCACTGGCTCTGAAACGTCCCTGGGTGAGGCTCGCTGCTGTGACCTCGAGCTCTTCTACACCTGCTGCGGCGGCGGCTGCTGGGACTTCGAGCACTTCTACTCCTGCTGAGGCTGCGGTGGATGCGGCACCGACGCCCATGGACATCGACCCGGTGACCCCTCTATCCTCGGCGGCCCCGGCGGAACCAGCGCAAAGGTGCGGACAGCCCAGGCATGGGGCCCGTTTGGAAGCAGACGCCACCTGCTCTGAAACTTCCAAGGAGGTCCCGGTGGATGGGGAAGCCTTTGTCCAATGGAAGGACTTCATGCCGGGCTCCAACACCATGGTGCCCCTCAATGCACCATCAATGAGCTGACTAAGCTGGGTGGCTTCAAGACGGGCGACTTGGTGGAGCGAGTGCTGGAGACCTTCGTGGCCAAGGCCCAGGCTCAGCAGGAGGCCCTGTTGAAACAGCCCCATATATCTTCATTTGCAACCAACGGAGGGGCAACCGCGGCATGGAGTTCCTGGAGGAGGCGGACCCGGGCCACCGGAGATGGTTCGGCGATGGATCGACTCGTGTGGAGGAAGGAGGAAGGAGCCTGTTTTCGGACTGATTCTGTCCTAGTGCAAGCCAGTCTTCCGAAATGCGTCGGAGTTCTCTTGGTGCGGCTCCCCGATTCCACTCTCGGCTCGGTCCCGCCGAGGCGTCGAACCCACCGTGGCCCCTTGCGTTGCTTGCGGCCCAGCAGATCGGCTCGCTTGGTTTGTTGGGATTTTTGTTGGAGCTTTTGGGAATCCACTGTTGGGGGAATCCCGAACTTGGCCTGTCCAAGATGAATGGTTACAACTCTATTTCTTCACAGGCCGATCAGGTCAAAGCAAAATAGGAAGGAAAAGGCACCCAACAAACTTTTTGTTGCACGCATGCTTTCACATTACTCTGTTGCTGTTTGAATTCAGCACGACAAGGCTGTTTCAATGAATGATCCACAAAAAGAGATAGATATAATATATCCACATACACCTCTGGGTGTTGGTGGTGTACCTTTTGCCTGTTGCTGTGTATTGGTACTGCTTCCTACAACGCTTTTCTTTACAGGATTCCCGAAGGGAATTTGGTTTGGTCCTGAATTCCCTGATCTCCCAAGTCTCGGATGCGAAGGCCTACAAGCTGCACAAAAAGCTCGGCAAGATGGGCATCGCACTGCCGGAGGATTGCACCGGTTCCTGCAGGATGATGAGGACCAGCACTTCCTACCGTTGATCTCGGACAACCAGGGCAATATCTTTGCGATGTTGAATCAATCCACTCGGAAAATGCCGACAGCGAAAATGCAGCTTGTCCTCTCCTTGCACCAAGGAGGTTGCCAATTAGCCCCATCTCATGTGAAACGTGACCTGAACACTTGGGCGGATGAGCTGACTCACCCTCATCCGAATGGCTTCTATCCGGCAGCGCCTTCGCACTACTGCTCCTTTGAAGAGCCACACGCTGATGAATTGGGTGTTTCACGAAATTTACCAGACTGCTCATCCGTCATAGGCGTGGAGAGGGACAGGTGCCATGGGCCCTGAAATCCTTCAAAAGCGCAGGATGGTTGAGCGGTTGATTTTGCTTCTACTTTTCACCCCTAGTGCACGACACCCATGGACCCGTTTTCCCTCAGGGTGCCCGGTGTCGGCTTTCCTCCATGGCTCACGTTCGGTCGACTGGGATCGGTGGCGGTTTTGGGTCCCATCCCAGTCTGACACCATTTTGAACAGGTTTGAACCATGGACAGAAAAGCTAACCACAAACTGCCAAAGGTTGCGCTGTCTTGGATTAGCTTTTGGTCTTGATGTTTCCTGAAACTATCAATAATATGATCCAGATCATGTTTCTTTTCAGTTGGACCCGGAAGCATGCAGTTGCCAGAAAGCTTCCAAAGAAAAGAGCCGGGAAGCCTCATGGTACCCGGAACCCTTTGGAAAAGCCGGGTGAAACGCGACCGCACGCCGTGGCCAGGTGGTGAACGCAGCGTTGCCATCCCTGGGGTCGGAGTGAGATGTCGAAGTCGAGTTCTCTCGTGAAGCGCAAAGACTCTGAAAATCAGCTGCGGTGTCCGACGGAATTTCTTGTAGAGTGAAATAGATGGTTTGAACTGGATGGAAGAATGTAGAACCAATTCAAGAACGATTGATTGCACCAATTCAGTTCTGAAAAGGACGGAAATTCAGAACAGTGACTGAACAATGTAGAAAGTTCTGAAAACAATTTTAGGTTGAACAGGTTGAAACTGCGAAGAACACTCACTCCGAAGAAATCCGGAATCCAATGCCCATTCCTGCATGCCGGCCTGTGATAGGCCGCGGTTTGGTGGTCAGGAGTGCCAGTCTCCTTGGATCGGTGGGGAGGTGTAGCTGGAGGTCGCTTCGATTCCAAGAGGTCCAAGAAAGCTTTTGGATATTTTGTTTCGCACATTGGTGAAGCACCTTTAAAAGCTAACTTCCTGTATATATAGGTGCAATACTGCACAATACTGTACACGTGTGTACGGAGGCACCTGGTGCTTGAATACTCGACTTTGGACAGAATGGGTAGTTGTACGGTGTTTAAGACCAGTCACTGGCGTCCTGCCGCAGAAATCTTCCGAACATGGGCTGAATTCAAACGGAGATCGTCCTGGCGGATTTGAGCGGATCTGCGGGCCTACCTGGCGGCTAGTTAGGCTGCAACCAAAAAAAAGAATTGCTCTCAAAGGACTTGATGTGTCCGGTGGATCTTGGCACACCATTGGCTGACGAATGTGAAAGGACCATATGCAGCATATCCTCAGTTCCCAACTCTCGTTTGGCAGTTCGATGTTCGATGTTTGAGTCAAGGGAGATTAGAAAAGGAACATGCTCACGAAAACCCTGTTTTCCGCTGTTCCTGAATGCATTCCAGAACCCCTGAGAAGATTCAAATGTTTGTTCTTCCAGGTCCAAACTAGTAGTGGGATGTAGTGGGAGGATAAACAAGATAAACTGTTGACACTACTGTTGACCTATCATTCGATGACTGAAATTGCCTTCAGCAAAAACCCTTGGAGTATTCTGAGAGGTCGCCTCTAACCGCCCCAAACTGAAGAGTTTCCACAAAGGAGCCGATTTGGATCGCAGCTCGGATCGAATCCCATTCAGAGGTGCAGCAACTGAGCCCTTTGATCTCTCAGTTGTACAGAGGATGTGGACACCGTTGGTGGAAAGGTCTTGCTGCCGACGGAGTTACGAAATACCTGAGGCGTTCCAGATCGTCCTGATTCTGCAGCCCGAACCAACTGTCCAGAATCACTTCCCTTTCATCGATTGGCGGGAGGGACCCTTGTCTCTTTGCCGCGGAAGATGGAGTTGAAGAAAAGATGCAAACAATTGTCGTCAGAGTCGTGTTGCATTCATCACCATTGGGTAGTTGTTTTTTGCAATTCCAGCTGCTTCTAGCTGTGGGATTAGGTACCCGAGGCACCCTGTAATCTTTGAGCAACCTGCAGATTCCAGAGCCACAGAAGCATGTAGCACTTAAGTCAGCAATCAGCTACTCTCAGGTACTCTGAGCAGATGGTGTGTTTTTGTTGCAAAACGTATCTATCCAAGACCCCTGAAAAAACTTGAGATGAACTGACACACATGCGCTGCATTTTGCCACCCCATGCATCATCTCACTTTGGTTTCAGCGTTCTCCTGAAGATGTGAGCCGCAGCTCTTGGCCCCGCCAGCCAAAGCTGCTGGTGTTGCCTTGTTACGGAAGCCGCAGAAGACACCAACATAGCTACGACAGCATGGCATGGATTCAGAGAGATACAGACTGCAGAATGAACTTCACCGGAGTTCTGTTGCGCCTGAATGTGTACCTGCATCTGGATTCTAAAGCCTACTACCTATAGAGCGATTCTTACGTTTGTTACTGAACCTACGTAGGGACAAAGCTGTTTAATTCGGTGCTTTGCAGGAAAGTTCTAATGCACTCATCTAATGCAGCAACATAAAGTAAAGGGCTAATGCGTCGGCGATCCAGTCTCTGAAGAAATGCTCATTCAGTTGAGCAACCAATCTCAGTGTGTGTGTGTGCTTATCTCTGCTTGACACAAAAAGAGATGCCTTGAAGCGCAAGCGGGAAATCAACACTATCGTTCCTGGTGCTTATTTTGTTTCGACTGCCAGGCTTGCAACCAGCGCGGTTGCAGGAATAGACTGAGTGTCCCCTTCTCCCCCAAACCTAGTTTCCAACTCCAAACTCAATGAGAGCAAAGCCGTCGATGTGAACTGCCATGGCGCCCAAAGCGAAGAAGGGCACAGGCCGGTGAAAAGATGGTTTGTGTAGAGCGGATCACAGCTAGTAAGGCACTTGCTCCTAGTAGCGAGGCACTTGTTTCTACTAGCGTCCTTGTTACTACTAGTAAGGCACTTGTTACTAGTAGCGATGCACTTGTTACTAGTAGCTTCTTGCTAGCAGATAGATGCTGAGGTGGTTAGGATGTGTTGCAATAAAAGCCTTGAGCCCCCTCCTTTGACGATGGCCGCCGCACAGGCAAAGTTGGGGGGACATGTTGAATGAAAGAACTTCACAGCATTTCAGTCAGAGATCGAAAGGGAACAAGATCCCAAATCATCTGAAATCATCTCAACGTCTCAGGGAGTTCTTGTTCACCCGCTAATGATAGGGGCTACATAGTGGGCTACATATAAGAATTTTGTTTTCTGCCTAGTTTGGCTGCTATGCTAGCCAGTTCAGTTGGAAAACCATCACCTGATGAGCATCAACCTGTCGTAGTCATGTGACGTCGTGTTGAAGCGTTGACTTCACAGATGGCAACCCCTCAGAGGATCCCATGCAGGGTCTTGGTGAAGGTCGGCATTCATCGCACATGCTCCGGCTGATTTGGAATGTGAAGGGAAATTTGAAGACTGTCTGAGACAGAGACAGACAGAGAGAGGGAGAGAGAGAGAGGGGGGGATGATAGCTATAGATGAGGGATCAACTCAGAGCCCACATCGGAAGCTCAACACGTGGTGCCTTGGAATCCAATTTTTTCACCTTGAATTGCATCGAGTCGGTAGCTGTGGTTAACAAGCGCAGTTTGGCGCTGAAAACACTTCATGACACTTCAAACCACCGCTTTTGCTCTCGCAGTCTTGCTGTATCTCGTCTTAAGGGGTGCTTCTCCAGCACCCCCCACAGGTGCACCAAAAGTACCAAAGGCACGAGCAGGTGGAGGCCTGGGACTGTGGATGGGGCGCACTAGCCCACGGACTCACAACACCTTTAGTTTGTGCCAAAATTCGATGGTTCGCAAATTGAAAAGATAAAAAATACTTTAAAAATAAAACATGGAACAACATAAATTCAACATTCAGTTGAACTACACACTGCATCTCTGCAACGTTGGATTTTTTGGAAAAGAAAACTTTTTTGACCGCAGAGAGCGAGCGAGAGCATAGGTACGGCTCGTGAGTTATCCTATTCAAAAAGCTGCTATCCGGTGTTTCTGCCTGGTTTTTGTCGAATTGTCCATCAAAGCTTTCAAAACAAGTTCAACTCTGGGGGACGGAACAAAGACTAAGTTGATGAGGCTTTGAAGAGTTGTTTTCGTTTGAGCATGATGTTTTTTGCATTCAGGGTCGAGCCAGGTCAAGCCCTGCTCACTCACGGTGGAATCGTGGGGAAGAAAGGGTTTCTTGAACCCCTGCTCCGAGTGTCCATCAGCACTCGCACAGTGAATTCCTGGTTAATATTTAAACTATATATTTGCTTGCATCCAGACTGGTACGATAGCTGAATGGAGCAGATTGGCAGGACTATGCAGGACTGTAAAGGATTGAAGAAAACAATTGAAGAAAGAAGCATGCATTTAGAATTCGTTGAAGCAAAGAACTTTTCCATTTAGAATTTATCTACATTCATTTGTTCATTTGAATTCTAGAACACAGAACGTTGTCTTCCATCTCCGGTCGTCGCCTCAGGCGTCGCCAAGGGCAAGGCGAAAGCAGCGCCGGTCGCCCCCGCAGCGCCGACACCTCAGGAGGGGTGGGGGGTTGGAACTGCGGAGGTAAAGGCAAACATATTGAAAGATCAAAAACACTCTTATGGTAAAGAATAAGATTGGAACACCTTCCAGAAAGTGATCAAACTCACTGTAGTGCCCAATGTTTAGAAAACTATTGGACCACCCCTTGTTGAAAAAATATCCTTCCTTTTGCCCGCGGGGGAGGACTTGGCCGCGGTGCAAATCCAACGCTTCGCGCGTGGCTTCTTGGCGAAGCGCCGGCTGCGGGAGAAGAAGCAGCAGCAGAGGCCGACGGGAGCGCCCGCAGCGGTGCCGAGCATCAGTTGGCAATGGAAGGGTCAGGGTGACTCAACCAGTTTTGTGCATGTCAAATGTGAGATCGCGTGTGGTTGAGCAACCATTCTTGGGATGCGAGGCAGCTGGCGGAAGCCTTGAGAGCTGCAGAGCTGGCCTCGCTCCAGGCGCAGAGGGCGAAAAAGAGTGTTTAACAGTTTCTCGTGGTCTATTTATTTAGTGCTTTCCAAACAGGTCCAGCAAAAGCACCAGGAGTGAGCAAACTCTACATCAATCACTGGCACGAATTTGGCCACCAATCGACCATCTTCCAATGTGTCATGTTGTCACTTGTCCTTTGTCCTCGCTGGCATTGGTATTTTTGAACCCTAAGACCTAAGAAGCAGCTTCACATTTTGCACCCCTACGGGTCCTGTTCAAATGAGGCCGCAAGCACTTCGCCATACCCTCCTTCCTCTTGATCATTCAAGCACCTATCACTATCACCACAAATGGCGCCACAAGAACTATCAAACGGAACCTCTTCTTGGCAGCTATCGACTAGGGCCTGTAGAGTAGATCTCTACATACGCGTGCAGACAAAACTAGACCTTGGGGAGACAGATGGTCTCAAGTTCCAACAAATAGACTCAGGCTGGCAAACACATGAACACAGATCCCCAAGGTTGTTTTGCCTACAAATCCGCCGTTTTGCACCACCCACTCCGACAGACGTGTTTCAGGCCGAGCGTCGGCGGAGCGAGAAGGAACGATTGAAGGCCAGTTGCGTCGTCGTTGGAGGTTTTTAGGTCTCTTGGAAGCCGAAAGCGCTAGGTTGGAGGCCAAAGCGCTAGGTTGGAGGCCATCGCTATTCGGCTGGAGGACGGAATTGGATGCCAAAGCGTTTGGAAGTGAAGAACTGTTGTTTCAGATGGGACAGTCCGGTGACTGCAGAACCTGGACCGCGCAAACTGCGATCGAAGAATTTGTAGATCGCATTGGACCTTTGGATGAGATGAGAAGATGCGTTGTGAGGAGTTGATGATCTAAAAATCAAAAGGGTGGACTTGGGTAACCTACTCTTCAAAATCAGCCACCTACCCTTGAGACAGGCACTTGGGTTGTGTTTTGGATCATTCACATGCCTTTGTTCAGTTTGTCAAGCATGTGGGTGAATTGTTCAGGTGAGAGAGGTGTCTCAAGTCAGAGACATGTGATCAGGTTTCCTACTCAATATGAATCCCGGTGGCAAAAGATCACATATAATGATTTGGGAAACAGCTTGGGTTTCGGCGTCCGTGGTGCCAAGCACAAGCACGACCTGTTGGGTGAAAGAACGCCTGCACGACCTCAGAAAGGACATCCATCCTGAATCATGTTGATACCTGCCAGTAGGCAGAGGTTTAAGTTTAGTCCCTGTCGCAGACCTCAGTCAGGAGTCGATGTTGATGGCTTGACTGCAATGACCTGACGACCAGTTGCTCACCATGCCATGACAAATGCATCTAATGTGAGACATGCGTTCACTCCCTAAGTTTTGCTCTTGGACGCTCTCCAGGCAGATGGTCTCACATCTTCTCCGACCTCAACCACTGAGTTTCTTCGTCTCAGCCCACCCGAAGCGCTAAGACGTTAAAAACACCTGTCAGGCGGAGGCCAAGCGCCAGAAGCAAAAGGAACGGCAGGAGGAGAAGGGAACGGCTTGGGGCTGTGGTATTTGGATGCATTTTGGCATGTTCACTGAGGTCTTGGGGCTTCAAACAGCTTCGTAGTCTATGGGTGAGTGAAGAGCCCTTTTTTGTGTGTGAAATGGGTTTTAGGGGAGGAGGAGTTCAGAATCTGCTACTGTAATGGAGATTCCTATGTGCCGATTCTAGCAAAGAGCAGCACTGTACTGAGTCCATGTGTTGACGCACCTATACTTACTACTTTCTGAATGAATTGCCACTCATTTGAACATCCTGTTGCTGAGAGAAATGCATTCGATCGGCCGCCTGCAGGACACGCGTGCCTTGTTGGAAGCTGCCTTCGAGGGAGACGAGGACTTGGTCTTGAAGTTCTTGAAGAAAGGCCAGGTGAAAGGGCACCAGGTGAAAGGTCGCCTTCTTGGGCCAGGTGAAAGGCCAGTCTTGATCTTGCCCAAGTGGATGATGCTGGAACACTGCCAGATAGTCGTTTAGTCCAAAAGGATTTCAGCCGAACATGCAGAATGGATATGCTCGGACTTCTCAGAAACGCACAAACGAAACTTCCTAAAGGCAGCAACTACTTCAACTTCCTGCTTCCAAGCTGGAAGTGGCAGTCACCATGATGTGTTCTTTTTTTCAACAGCCCAAACCACCTCCTCCTTCTCCTCACCCCGCTCGCCACGCAGCCTACCACGCCACGCCACGCTTGTCGAGGCCTTCCCGTGGACGCTGCGCCCGCCTCCGGTGTGACGGCCTTGTCCGAGGCGGCGGCCGCGGGGAAGCCACGCGTGGTGGAGCTGCTGCTGGAGCGCAAGGCCCGACGACACCGTTGAACTTCACCCGGTGAATGAGTCCTCTGGCAAACCCCCCTTAAGTATCACTTCACCGCATATCACCCGTCTGGTCTCCAGACGGTTCTGACATCCTGAATGAATCCCCACATCTCTCTCACCCTTTTTAGGGATCCCATCGAACGTCCTCTATGCACCGTCACCGGGACCCACCGACCGTCATTGATTTGTTGCACACGGCGCTCTCACCGTTGCTGGGACCCACCGACCGGATGCAACACACGTCCCTTCGTATGTTCCACGACTTGGTGACCTTCACGGCAATGTGGGAACCAGGTCCAGCCCACGGTGCAGGTGCGAATTCTATGGAAAGCCACTGCGCGATCTGCTTCTTAAAGGCCAACGCAGCATCAACGCTCCATGAATTGATCCTTTTTCTTCCCATCCTCCGAAACTCGCGGCCACCACAGCCGGAGCGGTCGGTTCTGGGCGCGCGCAACGCAGAGCTCGCGCAGCGCGAGGCCAACCCCAACAGCCGCGGCGAGTTCAAGCGCACGCCGCTGTGGCGAGCGTCCTACAGCAGCTGGGCGGACACAGTGAGCCGGTCCCGGGCTGAAGAAGATGGAGTGACAGCTACAGGGATATCCGATGTGGGGAGAGGTGAGGTATGGCGTGAGGGAGAGGTTAAAATTGTGGGGTGCCTTTGAGGCATGGTGCGGCAGACATACAGGTGGGTGAAATAGTAGTTCGCCCTCCAAAAAGTGGTGATGTTAAACAAAGGGAACTCTGCAAGAATACCAAGGAGCGAAACATAGTGAAGAAATGTGATGTTTGTCGACCTCTTGGATTGCCAAGGGAAATCTAAAAGGGTGTGTTCTTTTCAGGTAGACCGAAGAACGGTCATCGGGCGGATGTTTCAATCAACGTTAAGGACGTTTGGTTTTTCCCTTCTTTAGGCAAACACGCACATACTTCACTTCGATTCAGGTATGAGGGGTTCACCCTTAGATATCAGGTGTTTCGTCCACTCCTCTGTGACACTAGGTGGGCGTGAAACCATCTTGCCCTTGCTGCTTGAAGCCGGAGCTGACCCGCGCTTACGCATCTCGGATTTCATTCGGTTGGGGATCGCAGAATGGGAAGTTTCAAGAAGCAGCCGTGGATAAGTCCTAAGGATGGAGACAGAAGCTCCGGTTTTCTTACCAAGAGGAAATCTGAGGCATTGCTAAGCTGATATTCTGTAACATCAGGTTCAGTTTCCCATGGCTATACATTTGATTGAGCTAGATGTTGTTTGTTGGCTTTACGCCAAAGTAAACCGGGCACTCGGATCTATGTTGCTGGACTCGAGGTAAAACACAGTGCACCCATGGGTGAAAACATGCTCAGAAACTGTTCCTCCAGCAATGAGCAGACACTTGATGGACCTTGTTGGTTTCTATCAGCCTTTTTGGCAGAAAGAAACACGAGAAAAACACCACGGAGTCACGGAGAGATGGATCTTGAAGAAGCTCTGATGGTGTGACACCCAATTTCCACCAACAGTTGAACAATGTTGAACAACTATTCACTATTCTGTCACGACCTAGCATCATGATCCGCTTTTGTGCCACTAAATAAGTATCTACTAGGCCATGAGTACTCACGATGACCGACTCCCAAAAGCATGACCGACTCACAACCTGCAAGCTGAGCGAGCTGAGGTGATGAACACGGCCATAGCCCCTCTGATGTGTGCAAGGAGGAGGGGCAACTCGTCGACGACCCGTCTCCGGCACCGCTGCCGAAAGCGGCGCCACGAATCTCGGTCCACATGTCTTGGTGGAAGAGGTGCTGGGAACAAGAGCTGCGAATGAAGAAAGATGATGGGACCCTGGCATTGTAACACACCAACTGGGACGTTTTTTGCGGCTGGTGTGTTGCTTCCAATCCACAGGCCACTGGCAAAGCCTATTTTTGGGAGGGTTGCTTCTGGGCGCCAGTTTGGTGAGGTCCGGTCACGCAAAGAAAGACCTTCGTAAAGAAAGAGTGAATTCTCTTCATATCTAAAACGGTGATGGCGTTATGCTGTTCATATCTGAATTCTGATTAGGGCTGAGACTTTGCTGGGCCAATCCACCAGTCCAACGGACCGCTTTTGTGACTGCGACACTCGCGATCGCGATCGAAGTGCTCGGATCTCGGCAGGAGCTGGCGGAAGTCTTTGCTTCGTGGGCACCTGGGCGTGTTGTTCCAGTTCCAATGATTTTGACCTTTCAAAACTGGAACAAAATCATTGGCGGTTCAGTCTGCCAAGTTTCGCCAACACGGTGTGCGAGACTGAAATTGTCACGGCATCAGGCTATGCACTGTTGCACGTAACTCGTATTCTCCTGCTCACGGATGTTGGATGTTCAGTCCAAGAGTTTATTAAAAGAAACAACCAAGGCCAGTCTCGAAAACCTGGGGCGCCAGGTTTTAGGGGGTGTCAAATCAGATGGTCAGGTCTCAAGGTCTCCACCCATTGTGATAGTCTTTACCCATTTGTTTGATTCTTTCGCGCCAAAGGGATTTGCTTCAACATGCTTCAACATGTTTCAATATCCTAAAGGATTTGTGTTGCTGGTTGGAAATGACGTCCAACATCTTCCAACCAGCCAATATTCGGATATAACATGAACCAACCAACCTTTTTTGACGAGACCAACACAACGAAAAAAGAAACAAAGCCAACCAAACCCACCCTACCAACCAATCAAACCCAGCCCAACCCAACCAATCAGTCAAACCGTTTGTCGGAGTTCTTCAGGTCGAAACGCCGAAAACGAACCGGGATCCGAGCCGAAGCCGAGGACCTCGAACGGACGGAAGAGCTTCTGGAGGCACCGGGGCCGTCGTGATCCACTGGTCCAGCTGTGGCTAGAGCCATCCAAAAACAAATAAAAACCATCAAAACTATACCTTTGGACATGTTGTTGACTGTTTCCATCTCCACTACTGTAGTCAGTATAGTGCTGGTTCTATCTACGAGTTTACCTGTTGTTGGGGTATGCGAAGCAAGGCAAAGACTTGAGATTCTTTGGGCCTTCATGGTACAGAAATCGGTGGGGGAATCCTATTCACCGGGTGATTCAGATGGCGCAAAAGAACCGAAGGGAGTCCCTCCTCCCGAAGACCTCCACAAAGGAAGCCCCAGCGAAAGGGCGTTTTGGAGGTTGAACCTTGTACACACTGGTTGACAGTATTGTCATTGCTGTTGACTAAGTGACTAGATGTGAAGTTTCTGATTGGACTGCATGGAAGGGTCGCAGTGGGCTGTGTTTCCCAATGAAGGACCAGTATTCTATGTCATTCTATGACTTATACTTATTCTGTTGATTTCTATTGTATGTTTGATATGTATTTGTTCGACCATGTAATTTGCTTGTTCATTTTCTATGCTATAAGCATCTATTACACGCCGTCCCCGTGCCGCTCACGCTCAGGTTCTTGCTCCTAGAAACGGGGTCGGCGGAGATGCTATATGCTCCGCGCCTTCGTCGTTTCTGACCGAAGCGCCCAGGACTACGAGTCCTGGGCCTTGGAGCTCCGCGCGCAAGAGCTGCGGCGCCAAAGACTCTCGGCTTTGCAGTTGGGGGTCGAATTCGGAGCCAGGCTCGGTGTGATGGGAAACACGGTGGAAGACGGGGTCAACAACACCAACCGGATCCAACCAGTCAGTATTCGGGCGCTCTCATGGGGTCCTCTCATGGGTCCTCTTGGTTTTTCCAGTTGCTCCATGGTTCTTTCTGCCTGAGCTCGGCCGCCCGTGGTGGCGAATAGCCGGTGGGCTGAGGTGAAGAGATGCAAGATGTGGAGAAGTCCTACGAGGCGCGGAGAACACTCGAAGAAAGACGCAGTCTGAAGGAAAAATCTAACATGGGGTGTGGTTGAGGGGGTCTTTGGTTGGTTTGGTTGGCTTCTTGCAGTTGGGTTCACTTTGGACCTTGCATGTGTTTTTCTGATACTTCCGCCACACATGGGACACCGGGACGCGCAAAGATGTAAGCAAGCCGATACCTCACATATACAAGCAGCTTTGCTGAGAACGACCTGTCAAACTATTTTCAACCTTGAAGAGGACGCTATTAGGGGCTCCTGGCATCGCTACTAGGAGCAAGGACGCTACTAGGGGCTCCTGGCCTTACTACTAGGAACAAGAAGCTACTACCTCTAGAAGCACCAATTGATCTTGCCATCCTGGCGATTCTGCCAGGTGGCGCTGCAGAAGCACCAGGCGGCGCAGATGATCTTGGCCAAGGCCAAAGCACAGATGCGGCGCCGGGCCACACGGCAGCAGACGCCTATCAAGGCGGACCGCGCTTCAGGTGTGTTTCCCCTATGCCTATGCGGGATGATCAAAAGACAAATACAGCATCATACAGCCATAGTGCCACCACAACCTCTTGTTGGTTACCCAGGTTTGTGAATTGACTCTCTCACTTGTGGCATCTATATAATTAAGAACTGCGAGAAGCTGAGTAACCACCTTCACTTGCCTGAAGTACCTGTACCAGAGTCCAGGTAGTACCTGTACCAGGCCATTTGTGTGCAGTGCGTCTCGTGGCCATTCTTGGGACAAGCTGAGGAAAAAGAATGGGGCCCTAAACTGGCGGCTGGGCACAAGGAGAGCTGCTGCTCGCGCTCAAACTGCCCGAAAGTGAGGGTTCCTTCGCAAAGGGCTGCGGTTCAAGACTTGCTTGAGAACGAGGGGTTCTTGGGGGTGACGTGTCCATGACCTTTTTCTTGTGGAAGCAACAAACCAGAACAGGGTTCACCTGGCAGTGCGACCTCATTGAACGCTTTTTGTTGGAGCAATCTCCTTGCAGATGCCCTACAGATGCCGAAATGTAATGCCACTTCAACAAAGAAATTCCCCACAGCTTCCGGATCAATGTTCGTCAACTAGTGTACAAATTTGTATCCATACATTAAATTCCTGCACCCACCTCAAATCAAAGGAAAGCTTCCTTTTCCAGCAAGGGTGGAATGTGTAAGAGATCGAACTTGTAGTGTCACATACGGAGGACGCCTTGGATGCGTGTGCCTCCGCAGACGCTGCCTTGCAACAAGCAGAGGCCAGGCACCACCGCGATCGCTTTTTTGCTTTGTGGGAAGACGTTCAGGATGCAGATTCCCTTCGATGCTCTAAGATTCGATCGGTGCAGTGGCCAAAGTCATTCATGATGACGATCGGTCGCTGCTGGTTTTCTCTGGGGAACCGTTCTCCCTGTCTCTGACGAACCTTGCCGTCCGACCTGAAGGAGCAGTGAGTCAGTGAGTTCGACCTCCTGAAAGACCCCCTCCAGCGCCTGCCGTTGTGCCACCCAATATATGCGAGAAACCGGAAGCAGTCATCAATTTGAGAGACAGTAACAAGATCCTGCAACCATCAACCAATCCAGGTGTGGAACACCTGAGAACCACCGCTTTCATACCACACCGGTGATGGATCCACACCAGGACGGTCCACGAACTGCAGCACTGGCTGGGCTTCCGAGGCTTTCCAAGAGATATTCCATCTCGGCGAGTAGACCTGAAAAAGAGGTCTCCCAAATCGACAGAAATAGAAATGACACGACATGACTTCGAACGCATTGTTTGGTTTGGGAATCATCATATAAGTCATGTATACTCGTTTGTGGGTCATGACAAGTTCATTCTTCAACCCGGTGAAAGCTGCCGTTCCGGTGAGGTGGCTGCTGAGGAGGCCAAGAGGCTCTTCGACCAGGCAAGCTTCAGAAGGAAGGGTGACCTGGTACGTGGAGGACAAGCAGAAAACCACTGCATGACTGCATTGCGTATTCGCACTTGGATCTGCAGGGTAGTTGGGACTGTGCTAGATGCTTCGGAGTTCACTGGTCAGCTGGATGTTCCGACAGGTTCCGACAGAAGCTGGTTGGTTTAGTCACAGTCCTTTCTCGGTCCACTGGGTGGAGTCCCAGAGAGCAGTAACCCAGCCCAGTTCACCTGGACCCAAAACTGGCCGTGTTTTTGTACCCTTTTCTCCAGAACATCCGGCCAAACACTCCAAGACATCCTCAGAGGGCCAGGTGGTGGTAGTGGTACGTGGTTCTCGCCGCGCCCACTTCATCCTGGGAGTGCATCGCTCGAACGGGGGGGACATGTGTTGGACATCTCCCAGGCCGCCTTAGCGCGCCTCACCGCTGCAGAGCAGTGTGGGGCCACTGTAGACCTGGGCACAGGGCGAGAAGTGCCAGCGCCTTGGCCCCAAAAGCGCACAGGTGCGTTCGTGGTTTAGGTTCCGAACGTGTAGGTGGGTTTAACTCCATAAGATTTTGTGTGCTATCTTGTTCCAAAAACATTGGCCTCCTCAGCCTGCCCCCAAAGCCCCTCTTCTGGCCTCCCCTTTTGGCCTGCGGCCGGACAGCGAGCAGACCGGAGGTGCGTGAGCTGAACAACGTGCTGCTGCGGGACTTGGGCGAGCGCATCGCCTTGGCCAAACGCTGGCCTTTGGTGGTGGATCCCGTTCCTCGGCAGATCGGAGATGCCATGGATGAGGATGTTGAGAAGGGAGCCATGGGGAGCCATGGGAAGGCTGGGTGAAGTGCGTGGTGTAATGATATCGGGTTGAAATTGGGAAGTAGCTGTTCGAAAGTTGACGACTGGAGCTTCCCCATCCTTCCCTCCATGTCCACTTCTAAGAACGCTATATGTCACAAGTTTCTTGAAGGTTGATTTTTTGTGACGTAATTTAGCTAAGCTTTGTGATTGGTTTTCCATGCTAAGGAAAACATCGCACAAAAGCTGATCCAGTGACCTAGCAAAACATGGCCGAGCTTGGCTCCCGTGCATTCCTGGATGCTCAGTGCGGGATTCTGTCAGCATGCTTCCATATTGCCACATGTGCAATTCCAGGGGTATGAATCCCCTGGACATATCACTTTAGTGAATCCACCAACTAGATCATCTCCAGCAGATTCCTCCAACCAATTTGTTTTTTTCCAGGTACTCCGGGAGCTCCTTGTTGAACTTCTTCCTCCCTGGCGACATGGAGCCCGAACGCCTGAGGATGGCATTGCTCACGATGCTGCGTGCAGGCATCGCAGGGCCACCGGAAGTAGTAGAGTCAAAGCCCGGCTGCTGAGAAGAAGGTAGACACTGGTTCCTTGGATTTGAGTGACAGGATGTTTCAGCCATGGAAAGCTCAACGAAAATTTCGAGCGGATGGTGCTGTTGCTGTCATTCACTGCTCCTTTGCAGTCGTGAAGGTTTCGTTGACACTACAACAGGGCCAACCCTTTCGACGGAGTTTTGCTTCAGTTGTGGTCCAAGGCTCCGTATGCCTTGTGATGTCCTTTCAGGTTGTGTGTTCAAACATCAAAACCCCACTTGACTAGGACCAGAATGAACAGTATCTCGATTAAAGTCAGATGTTCTTTTGCATAGGATGCCCTTTCGCCCACACAGATCATAATCATCTCTATACTCTATCTGTCTCTCCACGTCCTTTTATTGATCCTTCCTGACACCACAACACTTCCATCGACCACTGCGTCGACCTGTTTCTCTCCCACCAGGGGGCGTGCTGGCCTTGGATCTGCTTTGCTTTGGCGCCGGCGTCAACGTGGAACTCCTCCGGGCGCCCTTCGAGGAGAGCGTTGCCGGGGCGGCGACCTGCGGCGAGCGTTGCGGATCGGGGGGAGAAGTCATGGGAAGCGACCTGGCCAGCGACTGGGTAAGCTGGCCAGCGACCATGTCAAACATCACCTAATTCAGAACCCTAAGCAAAATCTCAAGCGCAGTGCAGCTCAACAGGATTTTTAAAAGGTCACAAGAAGAAGGACCATAGTTGCATCATTTGGTCGATGCAGTTCAACAGCGATGGACAACGATTCTTGAACTGTTTGATGGCAGCTGACCAGTGGGGGGCTGCCGTGAACAAGAACTAGCCTGTGGGGAGGGGCGGCAACATGCTTTTGCTCAGCGGTTTTGGCCCACTTCATCGAGCTCCTATGGTGTCACTGCAGGAGCTGCGGCCAAAGCTCTTCGAAGATTTGTGTAGCCGCCAGTTGCTGAAGGCCCACTGCAGCGCTGCTAGCCAATCATCTTCCTCGTATTGGAGACTCACAATCTAAAACTATCTGGCTCCTCACGCAAACCTTTTAAACTGATTGATGCTGCCGCTGTGCTCAGAGAAGCAGAGCAGCAGCGACACAGCACACAACCTTTAACTCTGCGATGGTGCATCCTTCGCTGATATACACCAAAAGAATGGAAACTCTCGCCGCAACTGAGCCAGGCCTCCAAGCAAAACCGCATGCCAGACTTCTTTGACCTGGTCACCAAGGTGCAGTCGGGCGCCTGGGGCTCTTCTCATTAGTTCGTTGGTGCTGCTGTCTTCAATCAGGGCGTCCCAGGCATCTCTCCATTGAAAATCCGAATGAAAACATACTCAGTTGCATGGGGAAGCTTGGATTTGCTTGTACCATTATGATGACTTGACTTTGTCCTGATTTCCACACTATACTGCAGAAGTATGTCCAGCTCCATCAATAGAAGCTCTCCAGCAAGATGTCCAGCATTGTTCACGAAAGCCAATCAGCATGGAGCTTTCATGAGAAAATAGAACACGGATTGAGTGTATTTGTTGCTTCTGATAGGGTAGGATTGGGTTGTTATTCTGATAGGATAGGCTCCTTGATTCTGGTTCACTCATGTTGACGCCTCTTTTGGCCCCCCACGCTTCGCCGCTGGCACGCACTCCCGGTGCGCCACGTCGATCAGGAGGAGCGGAAGGAGCGCTTCCGCGCCCAGGTCTTCGATGAAGCGCGCACGGTCCCTTGGCACAGACGGAGGGTCCGCGGGAGAAGTTGGTGAAGATCGTGTGTTGAAACAGCGCAAATCGCCCCCTGGCTCTTCGATTCGTACAAAGCAAGACTTTCCAAGACACTCATGAGGAAGAAACCAGCTTTTCGGCGGGTTTTGAGGTGAGCCTCGAGACCTTAGTGAGACCTCAGTGCGCTGAACAGTTGGCTAGGGGCTTGCAATCTGAAAGAATCTATATTTAAACAGAGCAATTCTCCTAAAGACATCCTGGAGACCGCCCCTGCGAAGAGGAAAATGCGATCCATTGCACTCCCATTTGGTCAGTTGATGAATGGGTGATACCGCTCGATGATTCACTTGCAGCGGTGTGTGGTGTTCACACAGATGACAAGATTAGTTGAACTTTTCTACGTAGTATACCGTAGTACTTTGTATATTTCTCAGCAATTCAAAGTTGGCAATTTGGACGGTGGTGTTGCGGCGCGAAAGACCTTGTCACCGCGTTCCAAATTGTTTGCTTTGCAAGTGTCAGAAGATGTCAGAAGTATTGCTAAGGCCAAGTTCAAGTTTATGGTTCTGACCACAACTGAGCTGCTTGGGTGTCCATGGCTGCGGGCTGGGCAATGGGGCGAGCGTTGCGCCAATGTTCCATGTGAAGAATGAGTACAGTGTTCAGTGTTCCCTTTGTATGGTTTGTGGACAGGTCAAGATGATTCATTCACACAAGCATGTTCCACAGGAGCTTGTGCAAAAAAGGGTGCGTGTTTCTACATCCCAAAAGGTTCCAAATCTCCCACCATGAGGTTGCCTCATCCTGAACTCAAGGAATATTTTGACCTAATTCGGGTCATACCAAACCTTTGAATCTTTGAACAAATACAATAGTCAATTCCCTGGTGTTTACGTGTTTTGCTGCTATTCATTGAATCTTTCAGAATTATTTAGATTAATAAATACATTGTAAAGATCACTGACTTAGAAGAAAATGATTCTAATTACGGAGTGATGTAAACCACGTTAGCCTGCTGGTGTTTTTACTTTTCCAGGAGGTGATTTGTGGTTGCTTGGTGATGCAAATTATGCAAGGTGACGACGGAGGTTTTGCATCATTCCTGCTTGGGTGCATTGTGTGTGGCCAGTCCTCCGGCAGTCTATTGACATGTGAACATGGCTGAAAGAGACTGTGTACATAGATATCCTGATTTGATCCAACCCACTTGCATTATCTACTGGAGTGTTTTATCCACTTGGAGCGGTTCATACGTTCCGCAATCTACCGGGACCCCGCCCCGGCAATACCGACAAAATGTCAATTACTGGGGCGGCAGACGGGCCACAAAAGTGAACAGCATTTCCTGCATCTTGCATCACACTATGTTCTTGCATTCTGCTGTTGTGGCCGTTCGACGCCCCGTTAACCCGTATTTTGTTGGCTCAATAGACAGCGGCCCAAATATTGCTTTATCGCTTTCTGATGGGGATTGACTAGCCTTTGTTGTCGTGGCTTCTGCTGGCCTGCATCTATTGCCAACGAAAACCAGCTTGCGGAGTGCTTGTAAGGAAGGCCTCTAATTTTTCTTTTATATAGGTTCATGCTGAGTTTACTTATTTATGGAAATTAAATATATATTTTTTGTTTATTCTAAAGGAATTTTGAAATTTGATATATTTTATTCGACATATTCTATTTTTACATATTAATCGTAAGTTTTGCTATTTTAACGAAATAGGTCAATTTGGTAACGACGATTAAAAATTGTCGATAAGTCAATTATATAATAAAAATGTTGATGTTTTTAAATTTTTGGTTGGTTTATATGAAAATTATTCGATTTATATTTATTAGGATTCGATGGAAAATAATAAATCGAATTTTTAATTACGAAAGCTAGCGAAGCTAGTTGGAGTTACTCTTGCGGTAGCTAGTTGGAGTTACTCTTGCGGTAGCAAGGTTTTTTTCGACCGGGTGCAAATCTTAATCCCTGATTTTTTAGGTCGAAGCCCCCCTTCCCTCCCCTCTCCTCCCCTCTCGCCACCCCACCTCCCCTTTCCTCCTCCTTGTTTTCCTCGTACCTTCTTTCCTTCCTTCTTCGCAAGTTCGACTCCGTTTTGTCGTTGCTCTTTGGCATGCGGCTAGCGTTGCGTATCTTGCGACCGCACTGTCATCTGTTCCATCTGTTCCATCTCTCTCTCTCTTCTCTCTCTTTTCTCTTTCATCTCTCTCTCTCTCATCTCTCTCTCTCTCTCTCATCTCTCTCTCTCATCTCTCTCTCTCATATCTCTCTCTCATCTCTCTCTCATCTCTCTCTCTTTTATCTCTCTCTCATCTCTCTCTCTCTCTTATCTCTCTCTCATCTCTCTCTCTCTTATCTCTCTCTTATCTCTCTCTCTCTCTCTCTCTCTTATCTCTCTCTCTCTTATCTCTCTCTCTCTCTCTCTTATCTCTCTCTCTCTCTCATCTATCTCTTTTTCTCTCTTTTTTCTCTCTCATCCATCTCTCCCATCCATCTCTCTCTCTTTCTTCTCTCTCACTCTCTTCTCTCTCATCCATCTCTCTCTCTCATCCATCTCTCTCTCTCATCCATCTCTCTCTCTCTCATCCATCTCTCTCTCT